TATATATATATATATATATATATATATATATTATATATATATATATATGAAATTGAAGTTAGAAACAGCAATTAAAAAAAACCCTTTCAGGCTTTCCTTTATACATCAAATAGGAGCAAACAATCATGTCTTTTTTTTTCTTTTTTTCTTAAATAATGCTTTGCACTTTAGCAGTCTTGCTAACCTATAATCTTTTGTTTGTGTTTCTGTTCAGTTGTGTTACTATGCTCTTGGATTTCTCAATAACTTCCTCTGACACTTCATGACAAAACATGGTGGTTGTTGGATACCCGCACATAAGTAACAATGATAACTCTAGCTTTCAGTGTGAACAGCAAGCTGCTTCTGTTATATTGGCAATGTACAGTGCAATGTAAAGTAGGCTTCAATATTTGGCAATGCAGAAAGGGTTTTCTTCATGATGAGATGTGAAGGAGCTGTAAGGAACTGCAGACCTAAAAAAGAAAACTCAGTAATTTACACCCATCCCAAAATGTTCCACTACTCACTGGATCTATTGTGAAGACTACAATATCTGTGTTTGTATTAGCTGTCTATGTCTAGTTATGCATAAACATATAGATGCAGAATGAGTTTGAATAGCAATTTGTCATGTGAATGCTGGTTATACTAGAGTGGGCTTGCGACTTTTTTGTGTTCTACTACTGTTCTTTGTATTTTATGGGGGATTTTTTTTTTCTTTGTTTAAGAACCAGACAGAGTGAATCCTGTACTGCTCAGTGAAGTAGGCAGTAAAATTGCCTTTTATTCAGGGATTCATGAATTGTGTGGTGCTGCCTTTCTGGGGTTTTAAAGTATCTTTCATATATGAGCTTTTGTGATTTTTGATTTTTAAATTAAACTCCTCCTCCATGTCATAGAATCATAGAATATCAGGGTTGGAAGGGACCCCAGAAGGTCATCTAGTCCAACCCTCTGCTCGAAGCAGGACCAATTCCCAGTTAAATCATCCCAGCCAGGGCTTTGTCAAGCCTGACCTTAAAAACCTCTAAGGAAGGAGATTCTACCACCTCCCTAGGTAACGCATTCCAGTGTTTCACCACCCTCCTAGTGAAAAAGTTTTTCCTAATATCCAATCTAAACCTCCCCCACTGCAACTTGAGACCATTACTCCTCGTTCTGTCATCTGCTACCATTGAGAACAGTCTAGAGCCATCCTCTTTGGAACCCCCTTTCAGGTAGTTGAAAGCAGCTATCAAATCCCCCCTCATTCTTCTCTTCTGCAGACTAAACAATCCCAGCTCCCTCAGCCTCTCCTCATAAGTAATGTGTTCTAGACCCCTAATCATTTTTGTTGCCCTTCGCTGGACTCTCTCCAATTTATCCACATCCTTCTTGTAGTGTGGGGCCCAAAACTGGACACAGTACTCCAGATGAGGCCTCACCAATGTCGAATAGAGGGGAACGATCACGTCCCTCGATCTGCTGGCTATGCCCCTACTTATACATCCCAAAATGCCATTGGCCTTCTTGGCAACAAGGGCACACTGCTGACTCATATCCAGCTTCTCATCCACTGTCGCCTCTAGGTCCTTTTCCGCAGAACTGCTGCCTAGCCATTCAGCCCCTAGTCTGTAGCGGTGCATTGGATTCTTCCGTCCTAAGTGCAGGACCCTGCACTTATCCTTATTGAACCTCATCAGATTTCTTTTGGCCCAATCCTCCAATTTTTCTAGGTCCTTCTGTATCCTATCCCTCCCCTCCAGCGTATCTACCACTCCTCCCAGTTTAGTATCATCCGCAAATTTGCTGAGAGTGCAATCCACACCATCCTCCAGATTATTTATGAAGATATTGAACAAAACCGGCCCCAGGACCGACCCCTGGGGCACTCCACTTGACACCGGCTGCCAACTAGACATGGAGCCATTGATCACTACCCGTTGAGCCCGACAATCTAGCCAGCTTTCTACCCACCTTATAGTGCATTCATCCAGCCCATACTTCCTTAACTTGCTGACAAGAATACTGTGGGAGACCGTGTCAAAAGCTTTGCTAAAGTCAAGAAACAATACATCCACTGCTTTCCTTTCATCCACAGAACCAGTAATCTCATCATAAAAGGCGATTAGATTAGTCAGGCATGACCTTCCCTTGGTGAATCCATGCTGGCTGTTCCTGATCACTTTCCTCTCATGCAAGTGCTTCAGGATTGATTCTTTGAGGACCTGCTCCATGTATGGTGCCATGCATTTTACTGATGTCAAAACAACACATACACATATAATATTACTTCACTCAAGGATCACAAATTGTTTGAGAAACGCTAATTAATTTGAAGTCTTGCATCTAGAGCTGGACATAATTTTTCAACTGAAATGTTTTTTTTTCAACAAAAAATGCAGGTATGGTGAGACCAAAACATTTTGTGAATTTGTGTCAGTTACACCAAATTGTTTCAGGTTTTTTTTTAAAAAAAAAAAAAAAAACCTTTTTAAAATTTAATTTCAACACATTTGAAATGAAATGTTTAAATTGTTTTATTTCAGATTACTCTTTGTTTTGAAATTGTTTATTATATCTATAAATGTAAAAATGCTTGGAATCCAAATGAAATGTTTCATTTCAGGTTGAACAAAATGTTTTGTTTCAAAATAAATTTATTTTTTCAATTTTGGGGGGAATTGCCACTGAACCAATCCATTATTTACCCAGTTCTATATGCAGACCCCCCTCCCCCTTTGAGGTAAAATGTGTTGTTTCTAACGGGCTTAGTCACTATAGCCATTTCTTTCTGGAAAGAATACTCATTTCTACTGTAAAGAAAAATAGAATAAAATTGTTGTTCTCTCTAGATAAATTGTAAGACGTTATTCCAAGCCATTGGTTAAATGAAGGATACAGTTTGTCAGCTCATTATTTTATTGCCAGTCATACATAATGTTTTTCTTAAAGCCTCAGCTCTGGGAATCAAATGAGTATGAGTATTTCAGCTTTCATTTTTTAGGGAAAAAGTAAGTTTCTAGCTCTTGTGGTTACAGAATAAAGCTTGAAAACATGATCTAAATGTACCCCAAAGTCTGAGAAACCAGAAGGCAAGTAAAAAGTATCCAAAAGCTATTATTTTAACTTACCTGTGATTTTTTTGAATGCTTTTGGTGTTGATAGCAATGAGGATAAGCTATTCTGTCAACAAGTGAGCAGTTCAGAACATTGTGCCATAGACTGATGGTCAGTTATTTTATCTCTACTTATCTGTTCAATCCCATATCATTTATTAACTAGGTAAACTAAAGTTACCCAAGAAAGTGAGAATGGAAACATTTTTATTTTTTAAATATGCTTCTTGGACTTGCCAGTGACTGCCCAATAAAAGTTAACCTAGGTGCACTCCCAATGCAAGTTTGAAAGTGACAAATCGTAAGGTCATTTAATGATGATGGTGTTCTTGAAAGGTTAACTTTGGAGAATTTCTGATTTTGGAACATTTCTACTCAATGTTGCTAAAACGATCATTTCAGGATGAACTGTGAACTAAAATATCTTGACCCAAACTCTACCTTTTATTTTTTAATCTATGTCCTAATGCTCCTGCTTCCCCATATTTTATCCTTGTTTCTTCACTTCCTCTCCCACTTCTAACCTGGGACTTTTCTTTCCCATTCCCCGATCTCTCTCGGCTGCTCGTGCTATAGATATTTGAAATCTGTGTTTTATTTATCTCATCTTTTGAGTAAGAGGAAACGTTCATCTCCCCTTAGTTCTGCTACCAACGAGTCCTGGGGCAAAAACTCCATAAATTCTAACATATCTGATATTTTAATTGCGCTACATTGGGAATCCTTCCTCCCCCCCCACCCCCCCAACTACCGCCTCCGTTTACATCGATTATACAATGGCCACATTTTCAAGCCCAGGCTATTAACATATGCCCTTGATCTCTTTCAGCCAATCCTTTATCCCTATCTTTATCCCTCCAGCCAATCCTGACAACACTTATACATGTGCTTAACTTGTGTGCCTAAAGTTAAATGTGTCTGTCCACAGGATCAGGTACTACATAAACTCAAGAGTAACCCTAAGTGTTTATATCTCTTTCCCCTTTTTAACACTTTTTTCCCAAGGTTTAGTAGGAGCCAAGGAGTAAAATGAAATTCAAATGCAGAAGAGCTTCATAGGTGGAGCCAGGCTGCAAGATCCTAGTCCAGTGGTTCTCAAACTGTGGGTCGGGACCCCAAAGTGGATTGCAACCCTATTTTAATGGAGTCTCCAGGGCTGGCGTTAGACTTGCTGTGGGCCAAAGCCCAAGTTTCCCCCCCTCCTCCCTCCATCACCTCGGGCTCAAGCTTTAGTCCCCGCTCCTGCGGTCATGTAGTAATTTTTGTTGTCGGAAAGGGGTCGTTGCGCAAGGAAGTTTGAGAACCTAGTCTGTTTCCCCTGTAGTCAGCTCCAATTGCAGATGTACTTTTCAAGTGAACTGGGTGCAAACAGTGATTGCAGCTGTTTATAGCTCTTTGTTCAGTAGTTAGTACCTTATTCAAGGTGTCTCTCTACAGGCAAAAGGCTGCCTAGAACTATACATAATGGCAGGTTTCAGAGTAACAGCCGTGTTAGTCTGTATTCGCAAAAAGAAAAGGAGTACTTGTGGCACCTTAGAGACTAACCAATTTATTTGAGCATAAGCTTTCGTGAGTTACAGCATACTAACAATTCAGAATGAATTTGATCCTTAAAAGCTATTTGTGGAAAGCATTGAATGTATCTCCTTCTTGAATTATTGTTTCAGTGCTCTACTTCTGTTCCCTCTCCCCTTCCTTTGTAGACATGTGGATTCGTCAAAGCATTTTACTGTAGTGGGCTAATTTGATGAAAGGTCACAACAATATATCTTCCCTTACAGTGATTTTTGCATAAATGTTTGAGTTTATTCTCCACAAGAATATTCATCTCCGTTTATAAATTTAAGATTGTACTTATGTTTTCATCTAAGTTTAAATTTAATATGAAAACAAAACCCCCTTTCTTTTCTGGTTTTGCAGTTAAATATTCTGGTTGACACTGGAAGCAGTAATTTTGCAGTCGCAGGTGCCCCAAACCCTGATGTAACATTGTACTTCAATACAAAGGAGTAAGTATCTTTATAAAACTCTTTGAATAGGATTGAATGTCCTGGGTGCTGGACTGTATATGGAAAAGACAATGCAAAGCAGGTGGATGGGCTTCTATTGCAGTTGATTGCTGAATGTGGTGTATATGTCTCTTGTTTTTAGCACGAGCATCTACCACCTTTCCTCATGCTGAGTAGCTCCTTACTCCACAACTGGTTCCACAGATTTCAGTGAAGCTACTTGCAGCATGAGGTGTTTTTTTGTTTGTTTGTTTTTTTTAATCTGACCCTGAATTACTTGTACAATACCACATGCTCTAGAATCCAGGCACCAAATACAAGATCAAGATAAGCTTCAAGATTAATTGAAATGGCCTCAGGCCTTGTCATCTCAGGGTTTGGCTGTTTTCACCATTTTTTCTTCTTAGTTTAAATTATTTTAGGTAGGTTTCTGCAAAAAGATGTAACTATATCTAGGTTTGCCAGAATTTCACTTTTACTTTTTTTATCATTTTGACTGATATCAATCAGACATGCCAAACCCACAAAAAAACTGCAGAAATTGGGCTTGTTTTTGGCTTAGTTGGCTTGTGAGTTGCTTGTTGGCTAGTTTTTTGGCTTGTAGCTTTTTTTTTTTTTAAGGCTCCCAGCAAGCAGAGGTAAGGGGAGGAGGAAGAGAGTCAGGGTGCCAAGGGCCCACCACAGTCCCAGACTGCACATTGGGGGCATCTAATCACATAGAGAGTTGGAGTTTTTAGGGATTGGCTTGTTTTGGCCTTGTTGTGAAATGGGATTAATTTGGGATTAGCTTGATTTTCGGTTTATTGTTAAAGTCGGTGTGCTTATTTACCGCGTGAAAGTTGGCAACTGTGATATCAATGTTTATTTTTAAGCATTTTTAAAATTTTTATTTTTAATTTTAATAGTTGTGAAAACTTATGCATTGTAATTTTTATTATATTTAAATTTTCACGGTTGTGGGAACTTATGGGGGTGGTTAGAGAATTATTTAATGACAGTAGACATCGAGATTCAAAAAGTAAAAGCTTTATAACCATTACAATGTGACTTGTTAACGTTGTGTCAAAATATACAGTGTAAATGTCTTTAAATCAAAGCCTGTTCTGAAGCAGCATTTTTCTTACTCTGTCTTTCTGTAAATTTTGATTTATCATCTAACAATATTTCCTCTTCAGTGCTCTCCCTGTCATTCTTAATTTTGGAGTCCTTGTATGCCAACTGAAGAACCCCTGTTCAGTAATGGTTTTAAGGAGGATATAAATGTTATGGGGAAGATATCACCTGATTGCTTCCTGAGTAAAGCTGTGCAAATAACATATTTTCGGTTTGCTGGCAAATCAGAAAAACTAGGCAAAAAAAATCATTGTGGGTCAAACCAAACATTTCACTTGGATTTAGAGCATTTTTAATGTCTTAAAATGTATTAAATTTGAAGGAAGTTTCTAAATCAGAAGCCGTTTTGAATTTAAAAAAAATCAAAATGTTTTGTTTTAAAATGTCTAAAGGAAAGTCTTCTACTGTTTGGGAATTATTTTTTGTTTTTTCTACATGAACAAGTCAGCAAAGCTGACGTGAATGTCTGCAAAATGTTTAAATGTCACTCGATCTGCGTTTTTTGGCCGAAAAAGTTTTGGCTGAAAAATTTCAGCTCTACTCTTGCTTTGTGAATGAGGGGAAATCCTCATTCTCCCTCCTCCCCCCACAGTAAGCTTTCAGAAGCTAAGCAGAACGGCCAATTCCAGCCCTCCTGTGAGGGCCATGGGGTAGGGGTTGTGGGAGGCATTGATTAGTATCGTAAGGCTCAAAGGGTGGGAGCAGAGGAGGAGGGGAGGAAGTAGGACCTACCCCCTCCATGGGGGCTGGGGAGCAGTGGTAGAACGGGGAAGGAGGTTTTCCTCTTACCCTACACCCTCCGGGTTTGTTGATCCCCAATCCTCCAGTAAACCATGCTCTTTCTTGCCTCTGCCCCAGAAGGCCTTAAAACAGCCCCAGTCCTGCAAACATCCAGAGGCTCACAAGAGGAGAGCCTAATTCCCATATCCCTCCTAGACTGTGTAGCAAACGATCCCCTATCTTGAGGACCTGCAGAGAGTGGGGTCTCCCTTTTTGTATAGACTGTAGGATGTCAGAAGCTTAGGGACTCGTTTCACAGGCTGGTAGGTGAGGACTGGGTTATGAGGAGACTTCATGGCCAACAGACCCGGGGGGAGGAGGGGATCCTTCCTTGCCCTCCTTCTCTTCCCCAGGGACTTCTTAGTATCTGTAGGGACAGGTCTTATCTCTAGGATTTAGGACCATTTTAAAACAAATCTACCACCCACCCAACACCATCCTAAGAATTGCCATACAAAACACTTGAAGGTTGTAATTACACGTCAGTGTTTTGTGTATGTTATCTTTGAAAAACACTGGCAGAAAAAATGAACATTGAAATCCAGGGCTAAGGTTGCTCTTTGCTGTGCTTGTAATGAGTTTCACTAAAAGAACCACAACTGTGACTCACTCCTGGGAGATAGTTAACAAAAGGTAGGTGACACTGAGGGAATACAGAGAGGAACAAAAACATTCAACAAATCCTAACTAAACATAGTATAAGACTTTGTAGCACAAGCATTTTGAACATATGAACATGGATAGATCGCACGTTTCTAATTCCAAACACTTCTTTAAAGCATAGACATACTGTTGGTGGAATCCTGGTCCCACTGAAGGCAAGGAGAGCTTTACAATTGATGTCAGTGGGAGCAGGATTCCACCCCATTGCAGTTTACAGAGGTTAAAGATGGGGGCCTATTTTTGTATTGCTCTAAAACAAAATAAAAAAAATTTCAAATCCCTCCTCCCCGTCAATCATATCTCATGCAATTTCAATTCCATTAAATAACAGCAGTACACGCTGGGTATTATGAGGTGCTCTGACAGTCTTTCATTTGAAAAGTTAATAGTTCAACTACTCTTAGTTTAGTATGTAAATTATCATCCATAAGGATCTGTTTCAGTAATCCTAAAGTGGGATATTGAGAATGTTCTCTGGTAATGGATGGAAACCACTTGAACCTTTTGCAAGTGAATTGTCAAGAAAAAAGTTCTTAACATTCTTTTTATCATGCTGTTCAAAAAATACTTGTTGGTGAATGTAGCTTGCTACTTTTCCACAAAGGATTTACTTGAACTGTTGTGTGGGGTGTTTAATATATTTCAGATATCATGTTGAGTCTTCAATTAGACTAATCCTTTAAAAAAAAATAGTTACTTTTTTCAAATTGTTTGGTCATGAAAATCCATCTAGTTTTCTTCTCTAAAACCTTTTAACTTATCAGTTTTGTTAGCTAAGCATTAGAACTGATCTGAAACGTCTACTGGGGCATGCATGTTCTTGATCATCCGTTGGACTTGGGAGGTAAATCTAACTTCCCAGTCGAACATATCTAAAAATTGAGAGCCAGGAGTATCCATAAATGGAGTCTACAGCCAGAAGGGACCACTGGGATCATCTAGTTGGACATCCTGCATGATAGGGGCCATAGGACTTCCCTGAAAGCATTCCTGTTTGAACTAGCATATATCTTTTGGAAAAACATGATTTTAAAATGGTCAGTGATGGAGAATCCACCACAACCTTTGGTAATTTTTTCCAATGGCTAATTGTCCTCCCTGTTTGGGCAAAAGAAAAGAAAAAAAATTTTTGCTTTATTTCTAGCTTGTTTTAGCTATATCTAATTGACATCATGCTAAAAATATACATAAGGACAAGCAGAAGTAAGTCACATTGCCTTACAGTATTCCTGTATGGTTTTAATGACACATGCACCGAAGAACTGAGTCCAAATAGAATACCCAACTTTGCCTTCTTGGCTAAATATTTAGTAGTTTAAACCATGGAAGAGATTTATGAGGAGTTTTACTGTTTTGGTTTGGTGGCTTTTTTGTGTTTTGTTGTTTTTGTTTTTTTGGTGGGGGGTTGGTTGTTTTTGTTTGGTTTTGGTTTTGGTTTTTGCCTTAGAGGAAGAATTGGCAACAAGGGAAATGATTGAAGGTCTGCTTGGCATTTTGATGTTTTTGTAATAGGGGGGTGGGAGAAGAGACAGAAACAACTTTTCATTAAAATAGTTCAATCCATTGATTCTCTCATTCTTTGCTATTGTTTGAGTTTCTTTCGACATTGACTTGGATCTGTGGAGACTGTAGGGGATTTACAGGAAAATATGAAGCAAACTTTCTCTTTGCCTAGTTTTACTGGCTTGTGGGGTCTGGGTGTGGCATTTTTGAGTGGCGAGTGGGGATTATGAAAGAATTCCATGTACTGATCATAGACAAGTTGGGTGCTAGGTTTTCCTCATATTGCTCTGCCAGTGAATCTTCTCCTGAACTGATCTGCTTTCAAGGAAGACATGTACTGGGTTATGTTTTATTTAATACTGAAGATGGGTACACAACTAGCACTCAAATGAGACCACAGCTTATTTCCATTTTTGACTGAGGTCAAACTTGAAGTGTTTTTTGTTTTTATTAAACTGATCCTTCTTGGGTTTTTTTTTTTCTCTGCATGTGTTTTTTAAATATTACAGTAGCATGTACGTTATGCTAGGCACACTCCAAGTACAGAAGAGGTTAGTCTAAGGCCCAAATCCTGTAACATGTGAGCAGACTGCAGTGCCCATGTGGCTCTGGGTGTAACCGTCTACCGAGGTGTGCAGGATTGGGGACTAAGAAAAGACTTCCAAATGGTTTAGCTTTTAATATACTTTTTCTGTTTTGTTAGCAACATAAAACAGTAAATTCTGAAATAATTTCAGTCACTTCCCCAGTTACTCATTTCCCTCCCCTCTTCCCTCCCCAGATCGAGTCATTGCCCCCTCCCTCACAAATCATCAACACAAAAAAAATGCCCATCAACTGCAGGCGCTGGTGTCAGTGGTGCTCCTGAAGTGCATGCCCTGCTGCTTTGGCTGCCTCCTCGGCTTGTGCCTTCTGCCTCCTAGAAAGAGCCTGGAGGCTCCTATAGGCTGCATCACAGGAGACACTGTGGGGGCTTCAGTCCCATGTGCTGGCAGGGAGAACACTAGTGGCCCTACAATCCCCATAGTTGCTTTACATGGAAGCAAGTCAGGGCCCTTTATTTGTCCCGGAAGTTCCGGTGCACTCCTTTCAGGGAGTGCTGGAGCCTCTTGTATTTTCTAATCATGGTCAATGTGGTTTGTGTAGGATTCTTTTTGTGTTCGTTTAAAATACTGGGACCATGAACTAGAACAACTTACTAGAAGTCCAAGCATTCTTGGATCAGTCAGATGAAAAGATTGGCTGACTCTAGTCATGCAGTCCAGAGCAGATGTAGTAAGTGTATATACATGCCATAGAATAAAACTACCTCCGCCAGGGTGTCATCAGATCCCAGGATGCTGATGGGTTGTCACTCTCCTAATAAAGGAGGGAAAGTGAATTATAGAATAAGGGTTAGATGCTCTCAATGTTGCTAGCCACATGTATTCAGAAATCAGAAGTATGATTTTTCTCCTCTTCTTCCCATCCCCCTTCCCCTCCACCCCCTAAAAAAGGGGGCTTAAAAACAGTGACCATTTATAAATGATTTTTTTTTTTTGCCTTCAGGTATTTTTGAGCTTTTTATATGGAAGTCTTCACCCCTAATTTGTGTGTGATCATTTCAAGCTTCAAATTCAACCTTTGAATGCATTCACACAAGGAGATCTCACTTCTTGCTAAGAGGAGAAGGACTCTCTCTTCTTAATCCCTCCTGTCCTCTGGTGTTTTGGAAAGCTGTAATTTTTCACACTTTTTTTTGCCCCCTTCTTTATCCGCCCAGCCCCTGCCCCACCAATTCACGCTCTCCCATATTCTGTTGTCCCACACAAGCCCCCCCAAATTTACCTGCCCCCTTTTTTCTCTCCCTTTCCCCAGCCCCTTCAGATTCCTTCATAAATATTGCCAATTATTCAGACCCAATTTTGATTTTATACAATTGTTTTAATATTACAATACTGCTTTGAGACTTCATTTGGGATCAGGTCAGAGGTGAAAGTAAGCCGGTAAGCCCCAGGCTGGATTGGCTTCCCCAGGTGCAATTTAAAGGGCCTGCAGCTCCCAGCAGCGGCTGGAGCCCCCAGCCCTTTAAATTGCCTCCAGAGCCCTGCTGCCGGAGCCCTGGGGTAGTGGCGGCGGGGCTGGGGTGGCGATTTAAAGGGTCTGGGGCGGTAGTGGCGGCCGAGCTCTGGACCCTTTAAATCGTCCCCGGAGATCCGCCGCTGCTTCCCCAGGACTCCGGCAGGCTCCGGGGACGATTTAAAGGGCCCGGGGTGGTAGCGGCGGCCGGAGCTCCATCCCCGGAGCCCTGGGGAAGCGGCGGAATCCGGGGACGATTTAAAGGGCCCAGGGCTCTGGTCGCCGCTACCACCCAGAACCCTTTTAAACCACTGCCAGAGCCCCTGGCTGCCACTGTTACCCCAGGGAGGGGGAAGGAGGCACTTGCTGGTACAGGGTGGGCCGGGGCTGGCTCTGACCTCCCTCAGCCCCGCCCCTTCCGCCTGAGGCCCCGCCCCTTCTGGGGACCAGAGCCGACCCCAGCCCAGCCCTGTACCGATAAGTCCCTAGACTTACTTTCACCCCTGGATCAGGTGCCCCATTGTGCTAGGTGCAGTACAAATGGTATACACAATCACGTTAACACAACTGTAGCAGTGACAAGTTAAAGGTGGTATGACTGCTTCTGAAATTTAAGGAAGGCGGATGCTCAGCTGGTTCTGGGACATATTTAGTGACTGAGGTACACACCTGGCAGGAAGTTCATGAAGATGTGCTATTGGAAGCAGGTATTTTCAAAATTTGTAGGGGAGCGTGCTGGATAAAACTGCAATTAAAGAAAATATCTCTAATTCAGATGCATGAAGGAAGTGATCTTTTTTCCCTAATGGAGAAGAGAAGAATAGACTCTGTAGCCAGACTTTCTAAAGAAATCCATAAGTGCATTAGAAAAGAAGTGCCATTAAGATAAGAGAAAAGTACAGTTTCAGTATGTACTGTACTAAAGGTAACACTAGGAAAGTGGCATTGAAGAAGTGCCCCTAGGAGTGGTGCATTAGTTCACCTTTCTTTTTTTTCTTTTTGAGGATTATGGACTCTTACGGACCACAATGACTTTTTAATGGTTAGACAGCCCTTAATTTTAGGGAATCTGTGAATGGAGTTTAGGTTTTTTTCTTTTCCCCTACCACTAGGCATAAGGGCTTCAAATTTAAGTGAAAAATTTTAAGTTGAAAACTGCAGTTTGGCTGCTTGATAGTCCAACAAAATAGCCAGGGGTCCCCTGTGCAGGGTTGGATGGAGAGCAGTATTTGAGACTATAATTTGGTCTTTTGTTAATGGGCCAGAAGTTTAGGTATGCAAGAAAGCTGACACTCTGCTTCTTGAGTGCTTGCCTTTCCCCCTTTTTGGACTGGAGGTTGAGCTCCAAAGAAAGCTTTTGCATCCTTCTCTTCAACGAGGGCTGTGGGAATCGCATGCAGACCAGGCTGGGGTTTCTTAAGGAGTTTTCCACTGAGCATGAAAGGAGTTCTCCTTTCTAGGGAATGTCATGATTATATGGAAAAACTGGGAGCCTCCTATGCAATCTTGGATGCTCATGCAGTCCCTTATACACCACACTCCTTGCTACTGACCTAATAAGTTTCATGTGTTTTTCCCCTGGCTCTGCTGAGCTTACGGAAGGCCCTGTTACAGAGTAAGTTCACAGGAAAGGAAGCAAGTGAGTTGACCAGCTTCCACTTGCCTCTTGGGAGGGGGAAAAAATCTGGAATCCTTGTAACAAAAATATTCACAGCTATGTTGGTTCTCAAGGAAAAAAAGTGCTGAGGTATGTTAATGTGATAACCATTTTGGTGGGGTTTTCCCCCCAATTTTGGGGGGGAAAGGTATCAGGTTATGAATTCAAAATTTTCCTGTCCTTGGAGGTTGGACCATTTTTATTTATATATAATAATAATAATTTAAAAAACCATGTAAAGTAAACTATTCAACTTCACTGTGATTTGCAAAGATACAATGCACAATTTTGGAAGAGGATGCTGTGTTGTGTTGCATAGGCTCGCTGCACTCTTCCTCAAGATTCCCATGAACGCTGGAGGTTAGGGGAATTTTGCTTGGTTTTGGATTTTGATGCAAAAAATTTTCATCCAGCACATCTTCATATTTAATTGAATATAAATGTGTGCTGAGAACCAAATACAGATGGTTCAACAAGCACAGCTTGTCTTTAATGTATATTCACTGCTATATATTTAAATTATACATTATAATACTGTTTTACGTATTTACACATATTTAGTCATCACTATAAAACTCACTAACTTACAGGCTCCCAGCAAAGGTGGTTCTTACTCTGTGATGGTAAAGACGTATTGAACTAAACTAAGCCCTGTCATTTGGCACTAAAACACTGATTGCCAGGAAATTGGACCAAAAGTCAATCGCAAGAAATTCAAGTTTCATTGCTCTCCTGTAATGTTAAAAAAAAAAAAAAAATCATTGTGAAGTTCATGAAATGATGGTTATGTTCTTGTTAGAAACAGGGCCTTCAAAAAATAAAATCCTAAGCACTCTGTTTTAGTGCCTACGTCAAGGCTCCTAAATATGACTTACGCTTTTAGCTTTTAAAGAATGGCTTTTGGCATGTCTGTCTGAAAATAAAGCACTAGGCTATGGCAATTCCATTTTCTGATACCAGCCCTGCACACATGTGCTTGGTGGGGCCCTGATTCTGCTCTCATTGAAGTCAAGGGCAAAACTCCCACTGACTTTAGTGGTGTAGAATCAAGTCCTGAATGTTAGCATTCAGAATGCTGTATTCAGACTTTCTTCAGGAAGTAGGACCGTACCAACCTCTTCTTACCTCACTTTATCTGTCTCCTTGTCAATCTCCAAACCCAATAACATAAAACATTTCTAGTTTCCAAAACCCTGCGTGGATTTGCCCCTTCCTTCCTTCCTTTCGGAACTCCTTCTGCCCTTCTCTTTGACTTGCTGTTCCTAAACTTCTGTTGGTTCAAGTCTATACAGAACTTTTCTCCCTCCTCCTGTAAGTCAATGAGTCACTATTAAATCTGTCTCCTTCCTTGAATTACAATTAAGACTTTCTGAAATGCATATAACTTATGTTCTGTTGCTATGCAACTAGGAATTACATTCCTATTTACCCAAAATGGAATTTTTAATAATGTTAATTAAGTGTCTGTCTAAAACTATTAAATTAGCTTGGCATTTCAGTTTTGAACACAGAGCTATTCAGTTTCCTGTAAATTGAATGTTTGCAGTGGTGGTGTAGCTGTGTTGGTCCCAGGATATTAGAGAGACAAGGTGGGTGAGGTAATATCTTTTATTGGACCAACTTCTGTTGGTGAGAGAGAGACAAGCTTTCAGGTTAGTTTCCCAGACCTGAGGAAGAGCTCTGTGTAAGCTTGAAAGCTTGTGTCTCTCACCAACAGAAGTTGGTCCAATAAAAGATATTACCTCACCCACCTTCTCACTGAATGCACTATTATTTATTTCTATAGTGGTACTGGTGCAACCAGAATCCGGGTCCTATTGTACAGTGTCTAGTACAATCCCCGATTAAAAAGCCATCTCAAATCCTGAAGAGTTTAATCACTGAAGGGGTTAAATACCAAAATAGGGGGTCAATTTCTCTTTCCATTCTCTACCCTGACAATCCTCCTGGAGTATATGTGATTTGTTTTCCAGAAGTCACTTTAAATTATTCCTACTCATGGAAAAAAAAAAAAGTTAAACAGTATTTGCATGATAAAGGAGCAGTTCATTTATTTTATAGCATCTCTTCTGTCTCCCACCCCGTTGTATAGGTCAAGTACATATAAGTCACAAGGCACTGATGTCACTGTTCGGTATACTCAAGGAAGTTGGACTGGAGTGCTTGGCACTGATGTCATTACTATTCCAAAGGGAATCAATGGCACTTACACTGTCAACATTGCTACCATTCTGGACTCAGAGAATTTCTTTTTACCGGGGATTAAATGGCATGGAATCCTTGGACTTGCTTATGATGCCTTAGCCAAGGTAAGGCTCCTCCCCCACCCCACCTTTCATGATTAAAATAAAGCAAAAAATAAAAACAGGGTAATGAAGGGAGGTGCTTTCAAATGTCATGGAGCATTCCCCTGAAGGCTTTAGACTCCTTGTCCTCCTCCCCCGCCTTCTCCCCACAAGCCCTTAGCAAAATTGTCAAGGCTTCCTGCCAGTTACGCCATGTCCGCTGGGAGCCTATCAGGTTTGGCAGATCCCAGCAAACCTAAATGGAGCTAAAAGAAAAGGAGTACTTGTAGCATCTTGCGAATGCAGACTAACATGGCTGCTACTCTGAAACCTAAATGGAGCTGTTACCCCCAGTGAGGATTTAGGCTTGTCTGGGGGCTGATGACCCAGTTTTTGCTCATTTGGCCTGAACAATCTTCTAGTAGTGGAAGGTTTGGCTGTTGAACATACTACAGCACCCGGGTAAGTAACGTCTGGTAGGAGGCCACACATCTCCTAATATATATAAGGCTAGGACATGGAGCGTTCTTGGTGAATCTCTTTATGCTTGCTTGGAAGCTGATGCATGTTCTAGGCAAAGCCCCATGTTGCTGATTTTATTTCAAACAAAAACCAAACATACATTGAGATTTGGAGTATGCATATCTGTAACGTAAGAGAGGAAAAAAACGTGCATAGGGTATTATTTTTATAAACCACACAAAGCCCTACTATTAAAAAGCCAGGAAATTTGGAGGAAAAAGGTTAAATTTACAATAACTCTAGAGATCTGGAGATGAAAATCAGACTACCCAAACTACCTTAACTCTACATACATTGTGCTGCCCTGAGAAATCCAGAAACTCAAACTTGCCCACTTATAACGTAAAATGTGTTATCAGTTGCCACCAGAACTGGAATTCTTTACACGTAATTGGATGGCAATTACATTGAGTTGAACCTTCCTTACTGTAATTCGCTGTCACTGAGGGTAGCAGGGAGGGAAGGGAGCTCTTTTTCAAATTGCTGATTAGGCAAATAACATACTTAAGGGTTTTGCTCTCTTTTTATTAAGGCATTGGTCTTGTGAAGTTCTAAGGGTGCTCACCTCACAGGATCAGGCCCTAGTGTTCTGTGTGCTGAACAAATACCCAAGTGTTATGAAATGCAGAGCTGATATATCTCAATATAAACCTGCTCAGCTTAACTGCTTTTATAGAAAGTGTAAAGGCTAGCGTGGGGGCACAGTATCACTCTAGACATGTAGTGTATGACACCAATTATTAAACCAATAGTTAATTGTGGTAGGTGCATTTTGATATTCCACCCGTTCCGAAGGAAGGTAAGATTTAGAAACTGAAGATTAGCGTTCAAATCTGAACTGCTGGATGATTGAGCTCTAAAATGCTGCCATTTGATCGTGGAAAAGTGGCAGGGAAAACTGATTCCTGATTCTTCTGCTGACCCACAATGCAATATATGGCAAATCCTTCTGCAGAAATTGAGTGCCCTTCGGTGCTTTTAGCAGTGAAATGCGTAGGCTTTGTCAGGAGCCAATACTGCAATCAATGAGTACACTGTTGTCTTCTGGATGCATGTATCAATGGCCAAGAATAAAAATGTGTGTGAGAAATATCTAAAGACAGGGAAATGACAAAAGTTTGTCTGTTCTGTTTTCCTTTTAATTAATTATTTAAATCTGGAGTGTTTGTTCATCGATCAGTTGTCAGAAATTCATCTTCGTCCACTGAAGGGGAATTTTGTGATTGATTCGCTTGTTTCTACAAAACCTATTTAAAATTATTCTTAAAGCAGCTTATCATCTGAGCGAATAATCCTGCATTTATCTGCTTTTTTCTTCCTTTTTTTTTTTCCCCTCAACATACTCTAGCCGTCAAGTTCTGTGGGGACATTCTTTGATTCCCTTGTGAGTCAAGCGGAGATTCCCAACGTTTTCTCCCTGCAGATGTGTGGAGCTGGAAGGCCTGTTTCTGGAAGTGGTACCAACGGAGGTAGTCTTGTGGGTATCTGTCAGTCTGAAAGGGAAAAATCATTCAAACTAATCATTCTCTCGCTTTCCAGAGTTAATAAACATAAGAAATCTATTTTAATTTACAGAGTTTAAAGTGCCTCTTTATTCTTTCCACCTTTTATCCATTTTTACTTAAATATGCTCCACTAATTACCTTTTGGGTTTTTTTCTTTTGGTGTTTTTTGAGCCAACCGCTACATTTCATATTGAATTTTGTCTTTTTAATTAGAAACTTGTAAGAAAGAAGCACTGTCCCTTAACTTTTTGACTTGAGGCCAGATTCACCACCTTTGCTCACACTGAGTTGTCCCGTACTCTGCAAGTAACATAATTTAAATTAATAGGAACACTCGGAATAAAGTAGTACTTGATGTGAATAAAGCTGGCAGAATCTGGTCCCTACTCCTTGCAAATTTTTGCTACAGTTATTTTTGACAAATGTGTAAGTTAATACACTTGAGAAATGTATATGACAAAGAGCAAATTCTGATCTTATTGTACATAAGAATGGCCATACAAGTCATCTAGCCCAATATTCTGTCTTCTGACAGTGGCCTGTGCCAGAGCCTTTAGAAGGAATGAAGAGAACAGGATAATTTTGTGTGATCTGTCATTTAATCCCAGCATCTGGCAGTTGAAGATCTAGGGACACACAGAGCTTGGGGTTGTGTCCCTGGCTATCTTGGCTAATACCATCAATGGACCTATCCTCCATGAACTTATCTAATTCTTTTTTGAACCCATTTATCCTTTTGGCCTTCACAACATCCCTTGGCGATGAGTTCCACTCACCCACCAGCATGAACTGTCATTCCAGTATATTTTGTACCCCTTTATCCATCAACTTCATGAAAAAACTTGTGCAGATACAGACAGACATTATCTTCCTTTCCAAAAGTGGAAACCCATTTTTACCGTGTCCCATGGATTATCTTCATTCGACCAAGTTTCTGCAATGCCTATTATATCAATATCCTCACTTCATGCCAGGCACTCATCTTTCTTCATCTTAGTATTTAGTCTTAGTATTTCGTCTTCTAGCATTTGTATATAAGCACTTGTATATTTTGTCAATAGTCAGTTGTTTGCCTCCATGTGTTTATATTTTAACTGGATTCTTTTATGTGTGACTGTTCCTCACTAGCTACTACCTGCACTTTACCGATTTTATTTCCTATTCTTTGTGTTAGACTATAGAGTTCCCCCTTTAATAAATTCATCCCTAAGGGATGTCTCTGCCCAAACCACATGCTCCTCTGCACCTATTGGCTTTCCCCCAGCCCTTAGTTTAAAAAAAAAAAAATCCTTTACAACCTTTTCAATTTTACATGCCAGCAGTCTAGTCCCATTTTGGTTTAGGTGGAGTTCATCTTTCCTGTATAGGCTCCTCCTTTCCTCAGAGGTTCCTAATAAACCTAAAACCTGCCTCCCTACACCATCATCTCATCCACACATTGAGACCTGTAGTTCTGCCTATCTGCATGTGGAACTGGAAGCATTTCAGAGAATGCTACCATGGAGGTCAGTAAGACCAAGAAATGGCCTTAAATTAAAACTAACTAACTTTAGTGTATCAAAGGTACAATTAACAGAAATGGAAATGCTACCAGGAACTAATAATGGTAGCATTGACTCAACTGCCATATTGCATTTCTCTTAAGTGCATCTAAAAATTGCATTATTAGGCTATATTAATTCTTTTGTACTCTTAAGTGAATTTTTCATGTGAAGGCTAAATGCTCTTTCCCATTCTTGTGTGTTGCCTAGATTCAGCCTTGGCAGTATCATTAAAAACCCTGTTTAATTTTAACTCAAGAAGGGAACGCCCATAAGGAAATCAATTTGAAGTTGGCAGGCGTTGCGGGCACTTAGGACATTTCAAGAGGAGGTCCTAAATAGGACTTTGACTTGTTAACTATAGCAAGTGCCCTCTGGCATCTTGACGTTTGAAATACTTGAAACATATCCTTTTATCCAATTGTGTTCAACAACTGAATTTTTGCAGATGGAGCTCAGTAAAATGTATTTGCCCTGTGTAATCACAGTTTTCTTAGTTTTTATGCAAGTACGGGGGGGAGTTTGCATTACTCTGAAACTTACGATTTTGTCTCTTCAGATCATGGGTGGAATTGAACCAAGTTTGTACAAGGGTGATATCTGGTACACACCTATAAAGGAGGAGTGGTATTACCAGATTGAAATTCTCAAACTGGAAGTTGGAGGCCAGAACCTTAACCTGGACTGCAGAGAGGTATTTGCAATGAGAATACTGTTTGTCTATAGGTTTAAAAAAACAAAACAAAACACTACCCTAACTATTTTTTAAGCAAAGAGTCCATTCATTTGGTTTAAAACAAAAAGTGAAGCAATCAGAGTTAAACTCTGAAATGTACTGCCCTTCTATATGGAAGTATGTTGCAGCCCTCTTTACAAGATTTAAAAGTTGGTGACAACCCGTGAAAAAGAACAAACTTTGTACATCTTAAACAATACGATGTGTTTGTATATATGCCCAACACATGAAAAGGAAAATGTTTCAAACAGCACTGTCGCAGGGTGGCTGGCCCAAGGTTACTGAAATAGGTCCAGCGCCTCTGTGCCAGAACATCTGCTCCCAGTTGAGCCAATTAAGAGGGCAGGGCTGCCTTTGGGCTATAAAGGGTCTGAGGGAATTCAGTGATGGTGCAGCGGTCCTTACCCATATGCAAAGTATGCAGCTGCCCCAAATTTCCTGGTGCCCTGTGCAGCTGCATGCTGCTCTAGCCCCTGCTGCGCCTCTTCCCATGGCCCCCGCCCCTGAGGACTGCAGCAGGGCTAGGCCTGCACTCACCAGCGGTGGGAAGTGCAGCGACCTTGACCCAGCTGCGCTGCTGGTGAGTGATGGGGGGTGCTTCCCCCCTGTCCTCCAAGCCAGCCCTGCCCATCCCCTCCCACATGGAGACCTGGGCGCCCCCTCTCCCCCCACACCCCATGCGGGAGCTGCGTATGGCCCCAGAACAGCTAGGGACGGCCCTGAGTGAGGGTAAAACTAGAAGGGGACCTGCAGAGTGAAGCTGCAGGGAGAGGGGGTCTCCTGTAGTGGTCCCTGATGAAGGAATTTGGGGCTGGGTAAGAAGACTTAGCTGAAAGTTTTGTTTTTCCTTTGGGAGAAGGCAAGCTAGGCCCTAGCATCTTCTCTATCGGCTCTGACAGTGGGAAGAGACTATGCCCAGTGTAATGCTAGGTGCAAGATTTTGTTTTTGTGTTTGTTTTTTTGGAACTCGTGTTTTAACAAATAAACCGGGCCCCAAGAAGGGCTCTGAGCGGATGAGCAAGACTGTGTGCAGTTTTGTTTAAGGAGCCCTGAACAAAGCGAAAAGGAGGCAGAGCATTGCAGAGGCACCGCTGGCCACAAGGGGTGCTCGGCTGCAGCCACCGTGTAACAAGCACCTTGAAATGGTACTGGTGAGAAGTGGGTTGCCATTGCTTCTGTAGCCTTTTGGTATGAGTCCTTCACAAAAAAAAATTGCCACTTAAATCTTTAGTTTTATCACTGAAGTTAAATATTTTTGCAGGTACTGTTGCTGCTATTATTTTCTGTCATTTTTAGAATGCCCAGGCCATGCTAGTCACTGTACAGAAGTCTGACGACATAGACCCTGCCACGATCAAAGCAGACCCCTAATTAAAGTTTAGGAGCTAAACAGTAGACAAAGGTCAGAGTAGTTATAAGGTTAGCTAGCTCGTTAGTCCTTCTGAATTTGCATAGATGCACAATGATTACCCTGGGAGGATGAATTGTGATCCACTGGACTTACCCTTCAGTATTTGCTAATGAATTAGGAAATAGAGCATTTTTGTAAAACTTACAGTCACAAGAGACAACAGTCCTTCTTTCCTCTCTGGAAAATCTAATCTCTTTTCTTCAATCCTGGCAAGCTGTCTAGTATTCTGTTGCAGTTACGGTCTTAATCCTTCGGGGTGAGGATTTGGGGGAGCGAAGTGCTGAGTTGCCAGCATAGCTGCCGCATCTGGTGGATTGTTGTCTGTGATCCAGTAAGGTTAATCTAAAGCGAGCAGGCTTTGCATACCGGTGGGTCTAAACACACTGTGACTAGCATAGAAAGCATTGAGCTGTTAGGTTGTGAGTAATATTGCTTTCTTTGCACCTTCACATGTATTTCTGTCAGTGGATGGCCATCATGACTGTGTTTGCTATAAACTACTTCCAAGTGCAGCTCTGAGATGCTAGTTGGTGGTGACAGGAGTAACTGAAAATAATAAACATGACTGCTGTGCTTATCATTTGTGTTCACTAGCTTGTGGGGTTTGTTTGTTTGTTTGTGTGTTAGTTAAACATACATGTCTTGACCACAACCTCCTCCCTCAATTCCCTTTCCCTCTGCTCCATAGAAGCATTTCTGCACACATGCTGAATGAACACTAAATGGTTTGATATAATGCTTAAACTCTCCGCATTTCTTTTAGCAGTGCTCAGCAATCTGCAGGACCAAGCACTACCAAAAGAAAACCAAAGTATCTTTTGGTTTTAACCAGATTTGAGTTTCATCAGTGCATTTCAGAACTTCATTAAAAATATTCCATGTAATTGATATTCATTAAACTTAAGGATTTAAAATTGTGGTGTTACTTCTGTAATTTAAGAGTGTAAACTAATTAAAGACTCTGTTTCCTTGTTTGTTTTTTTTAAATTGTGCCATAAACATCCAACTCCTAAATAATGTTGCATATATTGGTTCAATTGATAGAAAAAGAAGTTCATAGAAAAACCCCTACCATTTCCACATGTTTCTATCATTAACAATAGTCACTAACAGGTATTTTGTAAAAGGCATGCCTTGTTAATGTTTATGTATTCATATACTGTACTTATGCTTGAGAAGCTTCTTAATTTACTGGATTTTGTATATGAGAAGAGAAACATGTCAATTTTGCAAGCATGGATTATAATGTGATAAGACTTGAATTCATCATTCTGGTTCAGTGGTTCCTTGTGCACTTCTGCCTTTTTTTTTTTTTTTTTGGCTACTACAGAAACAGAGGTAAAAAGTAGGTGAAGTGTTTGACATTTGTATTGTTGATGGTGACTCGTATGATAAGCACTGCTACTGAAAAAGAACAGTCTAGTCATTGTTATGAAGCAACTGACTACACCATTTAACTCGCATACAGTATATTAACTGTGCTCCTTCCCTCTTGTTCTCGTAGTATAATGCGGACAAAGCAATAGTAGACAGTGGCACCACTCTCCTCCGCCTGCCCCAGAAAGTCTTCAATGCTGTGGTCGAAGCAATTGTGCACACATCTTTGGTAAGCTGATCTTGTAAAACCTGCCTTGTTCCTTGAAGGAAAACCTGCATGTGGATATTTTCGGGTGTTGTCTAGCACTAGAGTTCGTGAGTTCTCAATCTGGGGGGTCCCGAACTCATGTGTCTGGAGGTTGCGATCACCCCGCCCACGTTGCTAAATGGGCGATGGCTCTGGGTGGGGTCGGGTTCCAGTGTGGAAAAAGGAGTCCTAATATGGAAAAGGTTGAGAACTATTGCAGTGGCATAATGCTTGTTCTGATGCACTGAAGAACCATTAATGTGATTCCCTGCTTCTCAAATTCAGTGCACTTGGGTCTGACAATTAGTTTCACTGATTCAAAAGTAAATGTTCATGAAACATAAAGGGCTGATTCTGCGAGCACTTCCTGTCAGGCATAATGCCTACTGTCATTAGAGTCTCGTGGACTTCAATGAGACTATTCATATCTATAAAGCTACTTATGGGCCTGATTCTGCCACCATTATGTTTAGAAGCATCTTGCTCTGGAACCAGTCCTACTGAAATCAGAACTGTCCATGGAGGGGGAGTCAGAGTGTCAGACTCTGACTCACATGAGTAATGTTAGCAGGATCGTGTTTAGCATCCAATATATTTCAGTAGCTGTACTTTCTACTGCAACACAGTGCTGTAGTACCACTTTCAACATGTTTCGCTCGTGGAAGGCACTGTTTCATTGAAATATGACATTTGCTTAGATTAACATTCTGTTAAAAAGTGGTGGTGGGAGGGGGATTCTTAAATTTGGCTAAAATCCTTTATTTTAATGACCTGCATGGTCCATTTATGTGGTATAAAGCCATGCCTCCCAAAATATATTGGTTTGGCATATAAAAATAAGGCAGACAAGTGTAATGTGAGAAACTATTATTCTTGAAATCAAAGCAAGCATTCAAAACCGTATAGTCTTGCCCTGTCCAGGCCTAATGCCAGCACACAGTATTTTTCAGATTGCAAGGTCTATCTTCGTAGAGAAGGTTGAGAGAGAAAAGAAGTGTTTTCTTTCTAGATTATTTTTGAGTAGTTCAGACCAAACGCTGAGACCTTCAAAGTGCTGAGCACTCTGTCCTGGGCCAGCCAACCACTTGGCATGTGCTTAACTTCAAGCACACAAGTAGTCCATTGACTTCAGTGGGGACAACTCCCATGATTAAGTGCTTGGCTGGCCCAGGAACAGTGCTCGCCACCTTGCCATACTGAAGCCCTTAACACAGAGCAGCCTGTTCAGTGCTGGATAGCCCACGGGCAACTTTGATCTTTCAGAGTCCTTTGTGGAAATGAGCAGATCACCATCTCAAAACATTTCTCCAAACACTGCTGTTAGGATGATGTCACCCATTCTTTGTAAAATAAGTGAACCCCACACACCATGTGGGAGGAGTACTATGGCATCAGTTGAGCAGACCTTGTCCTAAAGGGACCAAGGTCAGTTCAGTAGTTAAGATGTTCACCTCAGACTTTAGAAATCCAGGCTGAATTCCCTGCTCTGCATGTTACCTTGAGTAAGTCACTTAATCTTTATGTGCCTCAGTTCCCCATGTGTGAAACAGGGATAATAACACTTCTCTACCTCAGTGATGACGTGAGGCTAAATTAAAGATTGTGAGGTGCTCAGATACTATAGTAATGGGGGTTATACAAGAATGATAGACAGGTATTGCATTAGGAAATGTTGAAGTCTAAATGATTGATGACTGTGCTCTGACTTCCAAACGGTAGGGGGTTTTTTATTCACATATTTATTTTAAGACTTTAGAGAAAGTTTTAAGCCATGTTTGCAAACACGTGTCACCACTGGAATTTTCTATATAATTAATTTCTGGGTACATGGCTTCAATTTGTTATGAGAGTCTATTTTGGTGAATACGCATAAATAAACCATGTAAGAGGAAGTTGGGTTTAGCTTTTTTGTTCGCCTACACAGAATGTTTGGTGTGATGGTGTTTCGTACAGCAAGGTACTGTGTGGTGTGTGCTGTTTCATAAGGAAACAGGAACAGGCACAAAGTACTGCACAGGATTCAGGAAGTGTGTTTGTCTTGTCTGGCATCGTGTCAACATTTATGTGCTTCAGGGAGTAGAACAAGATGTTTGTCTTGGGCGGAGAAGCTCTGCAAGGGTTTATTGTTTGCTTGGTTAATACCATGGCTGTAGTAAGAAACGCTGTTCATCAATTTTATTTCAAAAGCATGTCAAGTTGTATGAGGGGTGAGGCAGGAAAAGGGACTAAAGGCCTGATCAAAAGTCTGCTGAAGTCAGTGGAAAGGTTCCCTTTGATTTCAAAGGGCTTTGGATAAGACCCTAAATTCATAGCTTGGAAATCGCATGAAGACAATAGTGTATCTCTGGAAAAGGGAGGAGGTTCTTGACTTTGTTAGATTGTTTGGGTTTAAAATGTACCTACTTCTTTGTATCTATGCTCAGCTCCAGATGTACATGAAAGTTCGGGGAATGGGTGGAGAAGGAGTAACGGCTAGTTACTACTTTTCCTGTTTGTTAATGTTGCAGTAATTGCTCAGGGAGCTTATGAGTTTGACCATCCTGCCTGCATATTTACTGCAGCTAGTTAAATAGTTTCTAACTATTCTGTCCCTGCTGCCAAGACTAAATTAGTGTTTTGATCCACAGACCTAATAGAGATGTTGATGTCCCACAGTCCTTCCAAAATTCTACCACTAGGCATATTTATGTGTGTTTATGCCACAATAAGGTTTTTTAATAAACTGTCTTAACACTAATCAGTTTGATGCATTAGAACAGCCTGAAGGGTTGACATGACCTCACTGATGGCTTATAATGGACACAAGCTTCATACGTTTTATCACAGAAGACGACAAACACCTCCACTGAACTTGTCCACCCTTGAGCTCCCCTAGTTAAGGGAGAAGAAAGCATGCCTGAATATTAAAGAGATTAAAATTATTGTTATATGCATCTATTAGAGGATATGTAACATGTATGTATCACATTTTTTTCCATAGATCCAAACATTCTCCTCTGGATTCTGGACTGGTTCCCAGCTTGCATGCTGGGATAAAACCAAAACACCATTTTCCTTATTTCCTAAACTTTCTATCTACCTGAGAGATGAAAACTCTAGCAGATCATTTCGGATCACTATCCTACCACAGGTTTGAACTTGTCTTATTTGGATTTGATAAGCCACACTACAGTCTAAAGAAGAAAAGGAGGAGTTGTGGCACCTTAGAGACTAACCAATTTATTTGAGCATAAGCTTTCGTGAGCTACAGCTCACTTCATTGGATGCAGTCAGTGGAAAATACACTGGGGAGATTTATATACACAGAGAACATGAAACAATGGGTGTTACCATACATGCATCCGATGAAGCGAGCTGTAGCTCACGAAAGCTTATGCTCAAATAAATTTGTTAGTCTAGAAGGTGCCACAAGTACTCCTTTTCTTTTTGTGAATACAGACTAACACGGCTGCTACTCTGACTACAGTCTAATAATTCCTTACAGCAACAGAGAAGTAAACTTTATGATGACATAGTTCTTTCATCTTTGCATTCAGCTTGCCTTCTCATCCCATTTGTATAAAGCTATTTTGGTGATGCACAGATAATCAATCCCAGTCATTTATTTAACTATCATTGGAGTTCCTACTTACAAAAAATGTTTTTAATGGTTGTCTGAACAGGACTACTTCTAGATCTGCTGAACATTTCTGATGAAATTTGAAAGCTAAATTTTAAAAGGGAAAAATTTCAATGACACTTTGCAAAAACATCCCCATTTTTTCGCTAACTGTGGAGCAGAAGGGGGAGTTTTCAAATTGTCAGGAAAAATTCCAAGAATGCTTTTGTACTCTTTTCTCCCATGACAGTGTGAGGCACTTCTTCCTGAAAATGGCAGTCTTGGCAAAGGACCTTATTATCCCTTTGCCAATTTCCCAGTTTGTTTTTATTGTCATTATAGCCTAGATGCAGTATGTACTGTCCGTTTTTTAAAATATAATGTGCCACTTCTGCTTTAATCATAAACCAATATAATTCCTGATCGCCTTTTCAGCGTTGGTGGCAATATGAACTAAACATCAATTAACATCAGTTTTACACCCTCTTACCTTGGCTGAAACATATAGGTAAACTTTACATGAAATAGAGAAAAGGCTTGATGTAAGCTTTTTCTGTATTGACCATATAGCTTGACAGTCTTTCATCCCCTGAGTGAGAAACAAGGGTGTGAAACTGACTTTAGTTTATTCATGTAGAGGCTTGAAGCTGACATGAATGCTCTCTGGATCCACTGCATCCAGATAATCCTTTTGAATATTTCTGTAATTTGAGTGCATATCCATCCCCCCCCCCACCCCCGCACACACACACACACAATACAAAATGTAAAAAGTTCACTTAGATGAAAGTGAAGGTGACTTTTAAGAGTCAGCTCATTAAAAGTCCAAATTTAACCAGTGTTCCTAGTTCTTAACTCCACTGACACTCTGCCCAGTTTTAAGTATCTTACAACACTCATCTTGCTCTAATTCATTCATTCATTTCTTATGAACTCCTGAGTGCTCAAAATTAGAAATCAAAAGCTCTGGAGAACACTCCAGATTAAGAGCCGTGTTATTACATGCATCCACAGTTATGGACTAATGTCATTATCTTCTAAATACTGTGGATTACTGCTACTTATTTTATTTATTTATTTAAATGAACAGCTTTATATTCAACCCATCCTTGGGATTGGACAGAATTTAGAATGCTACCGGTTTGGCATCTCTTCGTCCACCAGTGCCCTGGTTATTGGTGCTACAGTTATGGAGGGCTTCTATGTTATCTTTGACAGGGCTCAGAAGAGAGTGGGCTTTGCAGTTAGTCCATGCGCAGGTAAGAGAAACATTCCCCATGGGAAATATCTGCCATTTTCAAAACTGGAGCTTTATCAACTGCTCTGTCAACAAGGACAATCATTTTACAAGTTTGCAATTTGCAGATAAGTAGAAGCTGATGCGAATTTTCCACCATTGCCAGTAAAGATGAGATCATAGTAATAAGCCAGCACAGCTTGTAAAAGAGTAAAAATTGTGACTTTCTGACCTTTCACTAGTATCTGAAAACATTAAGGTTGGAAAAGGTGTATATAATTTATTAAAGACTTTTACAGGCTTTTGATGGTCCTAAGCAAATGGTTAAGGAAATGTTGTTACCAAGGGGTACAGAGTAAACTCTTGTCATTCATCTCTTAACTAGTTTTTAGGGAAACATAGGAGAGTGCATCAGTAATTCCCCTTGTGGGGTGCCAGAGCATGGGCTCCATCACAAGCCTAAATGCTCACATTGCTATTTTTAGCCCCACCGTGTGAGCCTGAGTCAAATGACCCAGGCTCTGAGACTTGCTGCCATGGGTCTTTTGTAGCTGTGTAGACATACCTTAAGTGAGCCTAGCCAGCTGACTTAGTTTAGAGCAGCTTCTAAGATGGTGGGCAGGGAGCCAAATGAGCCATAACTGGCTACCTAACAGGTTCCTCTCTCTCTGTGCCCTGTCGTTGTCATAAATCCATGAAATGTGGGTACTTCATACAGTTCTGAGAATCTTACTTCAAAGAAAAGGGATTACACTTGCTGAATAAGAATAGAATCTGTATTTATATTAGCTAGGATATCAACTGATCACCAGCTGGTGCCGGGAAGAATTCCTCTCTCAACCAACCTCCTCAGCATTGTGGTATAGTAACATTTGTCCATGTTTATTATGAGAACTTGCTTTCTTCATGTGATGTAAGCCACTGTCTAAAACAGGCTATTCTGCAGATGTGGCAATTCCCACATACATGTGAAAGTTGATACATGGCCAAATACACTAGTTACTCTGAATTCACTTCTTGACAGCTTCCATATTATGGATATACAAGAGGTCTGGTAAACGAATTTTTCATCAGAAAACCATGAGTATGCATGGTAAACAGTCAGCATGGTGTAAAGAGATTAATCAGCATAACTGGCTTCCCACAGGGGCCAAACCATGACTTCCATAGCAACTGTATTACTGTATTTTAGTGGGACTCTTAAGCCTATTCACTGGCTTAAAATAAACTGAATTACTGATTACGTTTCCTCACTTTTGAGAGCTTGTTGAATACATAGTTTCTTGTCCCTGGTTATATAATGAAACAGGGTTGGTGGTTAATGATAGAACATTGACCTGCACTTTGAATTTGCTGGGTTTTATGGCCTTTTAAATAGGGATTAAAAATATAATTAGCAAAAATTAAGAACTGGACCAAAACCAGTCACTGAACTGAACCCCAAACTTCTTTTGAGGTTTGACTTGGTAAAGTAAGAACTAGCTTATCTCTGGGAACCTTTCTTGCTTGCTCAACCCTTCAAGTTCTCCAAGATGTGCCAGTCAAACATCCCCTATCAGGCATGCACCACACTGCTGTGAGGGAACTAACTGCTGGCTGGATCCCATGTGCTTTAAGCCTCTGGACCTCAGAGTCTAGGCACTGCCCCATCTTGGAGACCCTAGGCACTCTCCTGGGGGTGCTGATCTTCCTGAAAGCATAGATCCTGTGGTCCAGTTGCTAGTTCCTGAGAGTAGGGCTGAATCCTCAGACTCTCACGCCCCATCCCCCCCATATCTTAAACACACCCCCTCTCAGAATTCCAGTAGTGTGGGTGCTTTGGGGGGTCACAGGTTAACAAAAAACACAAATACAGACTGCACAGGATTCTAACACCATTGCTCTTTAAGTGCACAATAAATACACAGATCTGTACAAAAATAATAAACTCTACACGCATTTCCCTGCCTCAGTTTCCTCACCACTCTGGAGGAGAGAATTCACAAGTTGTACAGACAGATTCCCCAAATCTTCATACCCTTCTTTCTCACTTACCCCTTCAGTTTCTCCAGTACTTGCCTTGCGTGTCTGGGAGAGAGCTGAAGTTTGAGGAGGGTCTGATAGAGGGCTAGGGGAAAGCTGTCAGTTTATTGCAGGAAGAGAAGAAATCCAAACTTACTAGTTCAGATAAGCCTTTGAACATTTGAGCTTAATTTAAGGAAAGCTTCAAAACAAGTTTCTTTCATTGCAAATTTCAAATCTGCCTCAATGTTATTTAAAGGAGTATACTGAAGTAGAATTTGTGAAAAGTTCTCAGGTGATAGGCTGGGGAGAGTAGTCCAGATTCTAAAGATCCAGTTTATTTTAAAACTGTTGGAAAAATTCATAACAAAAAACAGCTTTTGGGGGGATGGAGGGAAGAGGAGGAAGGTTCATAAACTGTGGCTGCCTCATTAGAGCTATTGCAGCCTGTCATTGTCTCTGCAAAATAAAAACAAAGGGTTTTGGATCAGGCCCTAAATTCTCACTCAGGAATAGATGTTCAGATCATATGATTTTTTTTTTAATGTTGTTTTTTTGCTTATTAAGCAATGCAGCTCTCATTAACCATAACTTCTACATGTAGTAAGATTCTGCCTTTAAATTTTTTTGTACTAAATTATAAGAAGGTAAGATTGTCTCATGAATGAGTTATAGAAGAAATATACTGAGTGTTATCCATATAAGAGATAAAAGTATAAAATAGCAGTATTTAAAAAAATTAAAATAACTAGTTTGACCATATTGCTGATTGATCATTTTCTAACCTAAATCTGTCAAAGCATTTTCTGAGGGATTCTCATGGCCAAACACAGAAAGCAGATATACAATGGTCATATTTACAGTCATTAAACTTTTATCTAAAGTAATTATCAGACACCGCCAACATTTAAAAATACAAACCACTGAAATAAATGTGTGCTGAAATTTGCTTGGTCTCACTATAAACCTTTCAAATTATGCATGCATGTATGTTTAAAAAGGAGCACCACCCCAGAAGTGAAATTCTTGCCCTATTGAAAGCAATGGCAAAACATACACTGATATAAATTTGTTGGAATTTTAAGTTGTATCATGGGCACCTATGATGGAATCCTGGCTCCATTTTATATCCTAACATAGCTAAAGTGCAACAGTGGTCATAATTGTTGGTTCATATTAAAAAAAAAACTTTTAATAAATTAGACAAATTTCCCTATTTTATTCAGTTGTATTTTGGTGGGATGTTTTTATGCTCCTGTCAGCTGCTCTGACAACCATTTTTGGTTGCCTTTTTGTTACTCTCAAAACAAATTGAGAGATTATGGACTGTATATATTTAAAGGCTACCTGCAAAGCAGTAAAATTGTGTCCCTTTTTTGCTGTGTTAAAATAGAATATTTTGTCTTATTTTTGTCTTATTTTTGTATTAGTAGTAGCGTCAGGTGTGATTTACATTGGTTTTGCTGGAAGACTCCATGGGTGATTGGTGAAATACGGGGAATGACACATCACCCCTAGAAATTAGTTGACAGGGAAAGTGTTTATTATGTAGAAGTAGTAAGAAGGGATAGAAAAGCACTGTTGTTTGTCATACAGTGTTAACCCTAACACATTAACCTGATGTCTTTACCACAACTGTTCCCTGGTTTTTCCAAAAATGTAGATAAAGCATAATTCTTATCCAAAAACTGTGTGAAGAGCACAGCGCTGATGCAGTTATTCCAAATATCTAAAATACAGAACTATTTGAATTTGCTACTGTTGTAGTTTATTTTAAATCTTGCTAAGAAAAGTCATCTCTTCCCATCCTTCAGCATTAGCTGTTTAGATAATGTTTCTCTTTTTGTAATTTCTCAGAAGTTGGTGGCTCTCCAGTATCTGAGATTGAAGGCCCTTTCACCACATCAGATATAGCAAGCAACTGTGTCGCCAAGATAACCTTCCATGAACCGATGTTGTGGATTATCTCTTATGCTCTCATGAGTTTATGCGGAATCATCCTCCTTGTCTTGATAATCTTTCTGCTTCTTCCACCTCGCTGTCAGCATTGCTTCACTGACAATGATGTAGTCAATGACGAGTCATCGTTAGTGCGTCATCGATGGAAATGAGGAACTTGATCAAAGTCAAAGAACCTTGGATTCTCTTAACACAATTAAGGATAAAGTTTCCAACCATGGAGAGAAAGCCAAGGCCTTCTTCCATATACATTAATCTCAAATCACTGTTCTACTGCTGGATACTCTGCAGGCATATTGCATCATAACTTTTACGCTTTATTTTCTAACACTGATTCTGACCAAAACATTATAACCTTACTCAAGTGCTACCTTACTGGTTCTGCTCCTCAATAGCACAGCTGAACCTTTAAGATCTCAGTAGTGCTTTTAAAAACAAAAACAACCAAAAAAACCCAACATTGTGATGTTCTTCCATCAGATGCACAATGTTACTCATCCCTTCCTCACAAGAAGAAAAGAACTGTCAAGTTTCTAATCTTAATCAAGCCTTGAATATAGAAAGAAAAAAGACCATAAGTTTTATTGATTTTTCTTATTAATCACATTAAAGAAATACTATTTTCTGTTTACAGCAATTCATTTTCAAACAGTGCTCACAGCGCGGGGGAGAGGGAAAGGTGAGTCTTGTGCAGCAGATGGAAGAAAGTCAGGTCAAGAAGAAATTTTATTTTATTTTCCAAGAAAATAAACTGCTGACATTTGAATGGGTCTCCCTTTGTAGGCCATCCTTCCTAAATAGATTGAAGAGGAAAAATGGGAAACCAAAACTACTCAGCTTTAGTGTAAAACAAGACTACCTCTGTTAATTTATAAGGATACTTACTCTTGGTAAGTGTGGCGCACATAAAACTGCTCTTAAACCACTAGAAATCTCTTACCACAAGATGCATTTTCTTGACTCCCAAATAGTTATTGCTTAATCCTCCTTTTATAAAATAGTTTTTCACTTAAACACGTTAAGGTATGTCAGCTTAGCTCTGGCATGTCCATCTTGGTGAAAAATATATTGACGCTGAGCGGTGGGAATGCTAGGTAAGAGACTGAAAAGTACTGGTCCAGTAATCCTAAAAATTATATTAAAAATAAAAAACCACTCTGGACCAGATTATTATCTCAGTTGTACAAGCATAAATCTGGAGTTTAACGGAGATCAGAATTTGACCCTTTCTTTAAATATTGATGAGTATTTTCTTATAGCTAGTAAGCCAGTGTTGCAGTAGCTCAACCTTGCTTTTCTTCGTAAAGTTCTTGCTCAGTCAATGGGGTGGCGGGGGGAGGGAAGGGAGGGAGGAACAGTGCTAGGCTTAGAAATTCAATTATAGTTACACTTTTTAAACACGACCTACATTTTGTGTCCTGGCTAAAAGTGCCTCTTACGGTGTTTTATTATAGTTTCAGATTGCTGGGTTGTCTGAGGAAATAGCTGGAGTTTGTTTATACATCTGAAAATGCTTTTCTTGGAACTAGGAGTAGGAAATTTCTGCATAGGTCTTGTTTTGGTTTTTTTCTTCTTCTGGCCTTATAAAAAATCTATACCAAGAAATGTAAAAATCTGCATAGCAAGAATGAAAAAAATGTGTTAGAATTAGGCTTATTTTCATAGATTTTTATCCCGATGATATTTCTCACTATAAATCCACACAACTTCCCTTTTATTATTGTTAAAAAATAGACTTTTTTTTCCTTTCTCAGTTCTAATATGAAGATGACTGAAATCATGCGAAGAAAGCACCATCTTTGTTTCCTCATGTGAGCTGGGTGACTTGAGTTTTTTTCTTTCACATATCATGTCATTTCTGTTCCATAGTGCACTTTCAGATTAAGTTTGGATTTTTCTTTTCTTGCAGAAAAGGAGAATAAAATGCAATGCACCTGATTTTCTGAAGTCCTGAGCTCCCACCACTCCTATTGTCTTCACATGGCACTGGGGTGCTCAGAACTTTCGAAAATGTGGCCCTGAGTTTCTTTATAATTGAAGGTTCATACCATTGAAACAAATTTGCATTAGGAGCATTGAGTTGAAACATAAAAAGAAAGTTCCTTTTTGAGTTTTAACGAAAGTTTTTGCTTTGGAAAGAATGGTGTTTCTAGTTCTTTAATCCAATTCCATTCAGTCCTCCTGAGTTTGGCTTGGCACATAGGAATGTGACTGAAAATAATCTTTTTGGTTTTTGTTAAAGAAATATGTTTAATACTCTTGTCATATTTTGTTTTAAATTAAAATATTTTTGACTTTTTGTACAGAATCTGGATTAATAGTACAGGGGAGAATGGAACCATCTTTATTACTTTTGAAGGGGAAAAACTGCATACCCTTGAAATATTTTCACTTTAGCTTTCTGATTACTGAAGAAGATCTTAAGCAAATTATTGGACAAAATTATTGGTATACTTTGTATTGACAAGTCAGTTCTCTCCAGAGTAGTTCAATAAAGTATTTTTAATGTACTGTATTTCATATAAAAGCCCTTCTGTTTGTTTCATTTTAAATGTCATCAGTCAAGATATTTTAATAGAAATACTTGAATTACATAAGCAATAATCCAGTAACAGAAATTAAATAGGCGGTAATACAGTGTGAGTTTTCACGGCATCCCTTGCCACTAAAAATCTGGCTTATGTTAAAGTGCTGTTAGTTACATCCGCTAGCCGAACAAACTTTCTCAGCTACTAAATTGATACTCACCATGGCAGATATTCAGGTGGGTATTGTTTTGTTGCTCTGGCAACTCTTACAGGTTTCAATTGTTAGCCAGCAGCACATTACGAAAATAATGCACTTGAGCGTTTTTCTATGAAAGATGAAGCTCAATGGGATAAACTAAAATCTTATGAAGTGTTTCTTATTCAGGAGGATTTTTTTTCCAGTTTTGAAATAGTGCTATAAGGTATCTGATACTCCTGTTGATTTATTTCAGGGATATTCATAGATTTTTAAACCATGCCTTCAAAAACAAGGTTATAGGGGAAAATAGGTATTGATTTTCAAGACAGTTTGTCACTTTTAAAAAAATAAACAAATGTACCCCAAACGAAGGGGTAATAGACCAATATATCCCAATGCTAATATAACCATAGTAGTTTCTGATGCAATGCAGTCCCAATTTTAACATTAAATTTATTTACCAGGCAAATGTGGAAAAGTCATAGTTCATTGCACAGAGCTTCTTTAATCATTAATAAAATTTAGCTGTTTCCTAATTAATTTGATGTGCCATTGATTTCACTTCATGCTGGAATTCAAGCTGCAGCAAGGGAAAACAATAATTCTGTCTTTACTGTTCTGTTGCTCCAAGTTCAATTTCAGGGATCTTATTTTGGGCTAACTTGCTCAACTCAGGCAGTGACAAGAACAGATAAATATGATTTTGAAAGTATTTTTTTATATATTGTAATGAAGTTGAGCTGACTGCTAATGTTAATTAAATAGCCTACACTTAGCATCCTTCTGCTATAGATCTTGAACTTACTTAAATCACACTGATTTATCAGTCATTAACATTCCAGTTCTGAGCTTTGCCTTTGTGTAGATTAATAGATAGTAAATCACAGACTCCTCAGAACTAAGAATCTGTATGTCTTTTTAAGAAAGAAACACTAACTTCTTAACAATATTCTTATCTTTATTAGTTGAAAGCCAGTAATTGAGTAGAATCCTAAGCTGTTTTCTTTATAAGAGTGGAAGTCTTCCTTGGTATTGATTGCAGGGTACATTATTTTGGTAGTAGGTAGTTTGTGTTGTCTGTGCGTGAAAATCCCTGGTGCACCTATCCCAACAGCGTAGCAATTCTACGTAGGATTTGCTAAATACAAGAGACTAGATTCTATGGCTCAGAGGTCATCCAGAATGATTGTTCCATTGAAGTGATTTTTGATTTCTTTAATGGTCCCAATACGAGTCTTCCAATTCTGACATCAGCTTTGCCAGCATGAAGAAGCTTGGAAAGGTAACCTGTAGAAATGAGTGTGAAAGTAAATGAAATATGTGTAAATCAGAAAAGTAAGCTGCCCATAATTTGTAATTGTTTCTATTGTAAAACAGTTTAAAATCTACAGAATTGGCATTCTTTACATGAATTTCAGGTACAATTTGCCAAAATATTACAAATGATTATAGATTACTTTATGCCTCCTATAGGTTCAAGTTAAGTCAGACTCTACTCCTGGACTGTTGCAGGCGCTGGTTTTATAACCATTGACATTCTTGCTGCTGTTTGACTATCATAAGCGAGTTAGGTTGTATCCCATTATCATCCTCCCATCTCTTGAGCTTCTCAGAGTAACTTCCTTCATATCTAGGCTAGGCTCGTAATGGTCCCAGGTCTTACGACTGCCTAATGGCTCTTAAGTGACATAATTCACTGCTCTGAAATTAACTGATGGTCTCAGCTCGGCTTATATAGGAAAGGGAGCCATATTGCAAAAACCTCTGTTGCAACTGGCGCTGACAGGCAGAGAGACTAAGGATTCGTTGAAATGGATTAGTTTTGTAAAATAGTATGCGAAGAGACTGTACTCTGCACCTACTAAAAGACTGATCACAGCTGAAGCATGTTTGTTTGGCAGGGCAGAATAGAAAAGCTTGCGTTGCTGCTGCTCTGGCTTTACCTCTGCTGTGGCTACTTAGATCTTAGTTCACAGTCTGGCACCTTCTGTGAGAATTCACTTGTAGGTATGTTTTCAAAAATAAGACTATCCTAAAGAACCTCTCTCATGTTCTTCACGTCAGAGTGGATGCATAATTCTCATTAACAAGTGTAATGATTCCAGACTGGAATCTCAAAGCACCCACTACATAGTTTTTCCCGCATTCTGATTGCGGATAACCTTGTTTTTCTGCATTGCTGATGAAACTAGGTTCTTATATATATTTTAAATATATTAAATATTCATTACTACTTGCATAGCTTCACAAATATTTAAACTTTTTTTTTTCTTTTCATTGTTAATTCAGCATGGTTGGCTCTCTAGTGTTAGGCAGACAGTTTATATTGCGACAAAAAATGCAGATAGGATACTTTTTCAGCCAACAAAAGCTTTAAATATAGAAAGTAACTAACTTTTCAAATGAACATAACTTTCAATTAAATGTTTAATGTCTTATTTAAAATTAAGTGATTGTCATCAGAATTTAACTGTATATTTGACTCTAGTTTGTACATTATGAGCAAAATAGGGAGAGAAACTGCTGACACAACTTATTCTTTCCCTTTTGGAATAAAACTGAACTGGTGACCAAAGAATTAAATTATGGCTGTGATCACACCAATTAATAATGGTAACTAAAAATAATGTTTCTAAACTTTTAGTGTCAAAATATTATCTACATGTATATCTTCTCTCTCGCCACTTGGGAAATGCTGGGGGGGGGTGGGGGAGGGAACGGGGATAGAGGGAAGAAATTCTAAAGGAGGTGACATGAGGGAATAATTGTAGAAAAGTCAGCAGTAAGTCAGGACCAGCCCTTAACCCAGCATTTCTCAAACATGGCCACCAGGGGCTTTTCTTGCAGCCACAGCCTCCTGGGGAGGTGAGGGGGGAAGCAGTGGCCCCTCCTCTGGGGCTGCCAGGAGGGGTTGGGCCTTGCTCCCCTTTGGAGCCACAAATATCAGAGGAGCAGACAGCCGGTGTGAGTTCCCTATCAACAGTCAAAACATGTTACTCTAATGCAGGGGTGGCCAACCTGAGCCTGAGAAGGAGCCAGAATTTACCAATGAACATTGCCAAAGAGCCACAGTAATATGTCAGCGGCCCCCCCATCAGCTCCCCGCTCCCAGCGCCTCCTGCCTGCCAGCAACCCCGCCTATCAGCACCTCCTCCTCCCTCCCCACACCTCCCGATCAGCTGTCTCTTGGTGTGCAGGAGGCTCTGGGGAGGGGGAGAGAGAGGAGCGAGGGCATGGCAGGCTGAGAAAGGGGTGGACTGGGGACAGGGCCCATGGTAGAGCAAGGGGTTGAGCAGTGAGCACCCCCATCACATTGGAAAGCTGGCACCTGTAGCTCCAGCCCCGGAGTCGGTGCCTATACAAGGAGCTGCATATTAACTCTGAAGAGCCGCATGTGGCTCCGGAGCCACAGGTTGGCCACCCCTGCTCTAATGCCTCATCTGAAGCGTGCATTACTGGCCAAAAGAGCGTGAGTGTGAGTGACTATAAGAATCTGAGTTCTGAAATATCTCTCATCTGGAAGGGAAAACATAAATGAGAAAATCATTTTAAGTTGCCTTGTTTTTTTAAGAGAAAATCATGTATCGACTTCTAAAACTCTAACACTGAATACATTTAGTTCCACATGATACACCAGACGGAAATTTCACTTAAGGAAATAATTCCATTTACTGGAGAAATTTCTCCACCTGAGAACTCAATTTTATTTGAATAGTTCAGAGTTGAATGTTAACTAAACGAAGATGGGGCCAAAATCTTGAGAAAGGGGGATGCTACATTTATAAAGCCAGTCTTCAGCTGCTGTGCAATGTTATTCCCAATTACTGCTAAGCATCATTTCTGGATTTTCTAAAGGTTGGTATTTTTGTACAAGTTCCACTGTTCTTCGATCTGCACTATATAAAAATTTAAAATTTCTGCTTGTTTAAATAAATGAATAATTGTTCTAACTTGTTCAGTGTATCTTTTAAATCATGTTGTATTTCACTTCCTGGTCACTAGTGTTCAGTATCCAACCAAATTGTTCCCAATGCAATGAAATTCAGGATACCTTTGACCAAATGTAAGATTCTCAACAATAACCCCTCAATATGGCTTCAGCTCTAAAGTAAGAGTAGAACTTGTCTATAAGTGATTGAAAGTTAAAACCTGCAGAAGGCTGACTGCTGTATGTGAGAGTGAGATTTTCACATTCATACTTAGAAATGAATTATTTTTGCTTCATCTTTCCCTCAAGAGTATTCCCCATTGGACAGAGATCAGACATGGAAAATTTTAGCCCAGTAAGTGAAACTTTTGGATCATTTAGAAATACAGATGGAAAATAGTTATACTAGTAACACTTTGGCTACTTTAACTATAGCTATATCTAATGCTCTGGCTATAAGATAAAAAGGGACACAAACTTCAAGGTACTATTGGTAATACTATATCTTTTTAGGTATCTACTTTCTTTTGGTGTCATACATAGAGATCTAGAAATATTAAATTCACTCTGCCTATTGGATTCTCTCTCACAAGGTGGCACTCCTGTGACATCTCTCAGATGTGCTTCTTTGAGACTTTCTTCACAACTGATAGAGTTCAATAAAATCAAAACAGTTTACAAGTTGTTTCCTTTTAAAAAAATCCATATACATAAATAATCTTATGCCAGTAGTTCTTAAACTTTTGTACTGGTGACACCTTTCACATAGCAAGCCTCTGAGTGTGACACCCCTCCCCCCCCTTATAAATTAAAAACACTTTTTTGGTCTATTTAACACCGTTATAAATGCTGGAGGCAAAGCAGGGTTTGGGGTGGAGGCTGACAGCTTGTGACTCCCCAATCTAATAACCTCACCACCCCCTGAAGGGTCCCAACCCCCAGTTTGAGAACCCCTGTCTTATGCCATAATGATGGTCTGATTCTTTTTGTTGAAGAATCAGCATTCTGTTTTTTAAAATCCTTTATTTCTAAGCTGCCAGGTGGCCTTTTTTATGTATTTGTACAAAATATGTTGCTAGTCAATGGATACCGGGATTATTTGGTGAAACAAGATACATTTTTATATTCTAAAATGGAACAGTATTTTCAATTTACCCAATACTTTTGCATATATAACTATATATTTCAGTTGATTGTTGCCTTTTCCTGTTCAATGGAGCCTGGCTGTAACACATCCCTGTTTCCAACTTTTTGGTAACAGGTCAGATGAGAGTTCTTTCCTGTGCTTGACTTTCTCCTACACGTCTAAAACTTCCACTGCTTCAGAGTACAGCCCATGAGATGCCCATCTGTACTCCTGAAAGTTTTCTCTAGGACTATATATAAACTTTGTCCTAAACAATACAAATATCCACAATTGGATTTGTTTGGTTTAACAAAACCATTTTTGCCCCTTTAAAAGGAGAGTAAGCGTGCGTACCACTTGCAGACAAAACGCTTGTTAAATTTGAGTATAAGGTTAAGAATAAAAATTCCTACAAAGAATACTGTATTTAGCACAAACCCTATTCAAAGCCAGGATGTTCAGAGTTAAGGTTAAATATATAATACCCCAAATATCTGAAAGTATGAAAGTTCACGGTTAAAGTACCCAAACTAATTTGTCACTGCTCCCTCAACAATTACTTACCTGTTTTGTTTTTTTAAGTGGCTTTGCAAGATGTCTGTTTTTTGAAGAAACGTTTCTGAGAATTATAAGAACTCCTCTACCTAAAGGCTTAAATTTTGAACAGCCATGGAATTTGTACAGCTAGCAAATGAAATGGAATAGTGAACTGGGCTCCACAGACCTTCGTCTATAACTGGTTTCATGTCCTCATTGATGTCAGATCTGTGTCTAATGGCACTTGCATTTTTGGTACTTGGAATCGTTGGGCCTTATCCTAAGAGGTGCCAAATTCCTTCAATACCACACAAGACTCAGCATTTAAAAGGGGAACAGAGAATAATTGCCTTAATATGTTGTTTGTCAAACCAGGAATTTGAGTAAAGCAGTTTTTTTCCTATGGAACATATATAATTGTAAAGAAGGCTAGAGTTGTCAGCTCTAGCAAATGTATGACTAAGAGGATGATGATACGGTGTTCATGGTCATTGATAATATGAAACTTTGTAATGGATACATAAGGTAGCATGATTTTCTCAGAACATTGCTGCAGGGACAGTTAAATTAGTTTGGGGAACTTAGCTGTGAATGTTCCTACTTTTCAATGTTTGAATTTCTTAAGTAAAGCCTTAAATCTGACTTCCATCTTTTTTAATTTTTGGGGTGGGGGTTGGTTTGGTTTGTTGGGGTTTTTTTTTGGGGGGGGAGCGTTTCTTTGGGATTGTGTGTTGCTACCTACAATGTTCTGCAGGGATTTTTAATCCTCAAATTACTGATAACTCCTTCAGTTCTCTCCTACACTCTATTTCACCAATTAAACTCATTCCTACCATTCTTCCCCATTCAGTCCTGCAAGTCCAACCCATCTCCACTCATTTTGCCCATCTCTGCTCCTATGCCTCTACTGATTCAAGCTTGTAATGTCAGTTTTAATGTCCTTTTATCTGGAAGAGGTGAAATCTAATTTTCTCATGCGCAGTGTGACTCTGGGCTAATAGTATGTGCCAAACCTCCACCCCTCAGGTTAAAGAATGCTAAGCATAAACCAAAACCATAAATTGTACACCACCAACCCATTGGATTCCAGTCTCACTGGCTGTTCCAGCTCATCATTTGAAAGTGCTTATTTTATTGCTCAGCATTCTTTCTCTGTTACTTATTTAATTCCTGTGTTTTTTGTATTTTGTTTAAGCCTTCTGCTTTTCAGTGAAGCTAATCTAATATTCTCAAAGTCTGGCTTGTGTCCCAAACCTTTTCTTCCAGGTTTCATGGAGGACGTCAAGTGTCACCAGAGAGTCTATTTCATTATTTTTGTTTTGAAGCAGACATAGGCCTTGATCCTGCAAGTTACTGCTAATAGAACTCCATGAGATTGCAAGAGTCCGTCCACCTGCATGGAAAAACAAGGAGTCCTTGTGGCACCTTAGAGACTAACAAATTTATCTGGGCATAAGCTTTTGAGGGCTAGAACCCACTTCATCAGACGCATGGAGTGAAAAATACAGTAGGCGGGTGTGTGTGTGTGTGTAGAGAAAGGAAAAAAAAATGAGAACATGAAAAGATGGGAGTTGCCTTACCAACTCACAGCACCATGACCTTCCTGGTGTTATAAAAATACTGACATTGAGTCATTCTTAAACATATCTCTGCTCTGCCATGATTGTAGGCTGTTTGCCAGAGTGCCTTTTGTGTGTGTGTGTGTGTAGATTTTCTATGTCCTGCATCACCATAGAGCTGAGCACCTCAC